TATTTTGAAGCCTCCTCAGCCCCTAACACAGAGCCTTGCACATGGAACAAATTCAATCAATGGTAGTTTAGAGGGTGAGCTGTGAAATTATTTTGTAAGTTTATACCTATTCAATGAGTGACAATTCATATTACTCAAGACAAATTTAAAATCTTCAATCTGAAGAGAATGCTATTTAAACTAAAATCACGTTTTGTTAGATGGAATATGGATATTTTAATTTTTGTGAATACCTTATATCTTTGCATTGGACTCCATTTTCTGATTTTTATTTCAAGACTTATTCTACTAAATCTTACCTGATATCCTACTGTCCAGTTACCCAGCTTTGAAAAGGGTTATGGAATGTGGCAGTACCTCTTCCTCTCTCTAATATATCAGTAATCACAACTCACAAGAACCTGTTTTAAGGAATTTCAGAGTTTATGTGGTCTTGCCTTTCTTAGGTACAACTCACTTAAAAGGGTTATAAAATAAATTATTATCAGAGCTTTAGAAGAAGCAATTAACACTAGTCTTTTCCTGAAAAGTAACTGTGTTATTCATTCAATCTAAAGGATTCATAATCAACTTTTTTTAAAAAACATAGACTTGTTTCCAGAAATTTGGTGGTTTTTCTTTTTTGCATTTTTCACTAGTTCAAATTTCCTAAAGGACTCAAAATAGAGTAAAATTCATTTGATCTTTTGAATTACTGAGGTAAAAATGATGGCATAAATTATACCTAACGACTCAGCATCTCTAAGATTTCATGACTCTTTAATACTCATAGTAGGGTATATTGGTTATGATACCAGCTACAGTACTATCTAGCCAACATGTTTTTGTCTCTTAACCATCTTGACTCCATTCAATACAGAACTTTTCTTCACTGCCTTAATCCAAGCAGACATTTTCAGAAGCTTGACCTATCTCCATTTTGAAGACATCTGGCTGAATTTCAAAGGAAAATGATACAGCAGAGTAAAACAGAAACCAAAAGATGCCCCCATCACTTTGCCTAAGTTCTGGCAATTTGACTGACTCTGCTTGTGAATTTTCCCTGCCACTGAGTCATTGCATACAGAATTATAAAACTTTAATTTCTTTAGAGGCTTGTTATATTAGAAAAATTGTTCCAAAGAAAGCAACAATCATGACATAAGCACATCTGGCTCTTGCAAATTATTCTTTATTAAGCTTTCATTTAATTACATGTGCTGAAAGGTCTGTTTTTGATTACTGTAATTTTTTTTATTTGTCCATCTGAATGACAGTAATGCTGGAAATTACATACAAACCACCTGTTTTTTCTCCCCTACTAATATGGCAAAGTTTAAGCTATTTTCTCTCTTGTTGATAGTCTAGGAAGCTTTCTATTTATTATGAGAGAAATGTGACCATCAAGGTAATGGCTTAATTTTGATTATAAGAAGAAAAGAAAATATTTGAACAAAGTTTTCAGGCACTAGATAGTGTTAAGACTGGAGTGTCTGACTTCTGGTTAACCATAGCAGATTAACATATTCATTTATTGTTAGTTTCACCCAAATCCTAATAAACTGATGGTTAAGAATTATGGGTGTAAACCTTCAAGTAGAAATGAAAAGAGAAGACAAAAAAATTTGGAATATGAGAAATGGATAGATGAGTTATAACCGTCTTAGCAGAAAAGAGAAAGCTGATACCCAAGCTTTAGGAGTGTAAAGCCAAAAAGAATCAAGCCCAATTGTGAGCTGAGCCTTTCAAATGCGTAGGAATTGAAGGCATCATGTATCATTAAAGGAACAGCTGTAAGAGGTGGAACTGTCGACAGGATGACTGGTTGAAAATAGATATAAGATGATCCCTCCCTAACCTCATGCAACCTGGTAACTACCATCCCTGCCTTCTCCCTCCCAGCCCCATGAGCACATAACCTGGCAGAAGAAGCCAGAGATTTATTCTCTTGATAATTTGAACTTATATCTTGGGACATCAGGCATAGCTGATAATGAGTGATGGTGCCATGGTGAAAACCAGGGAGTTTGCAGGATAGACCAGACTGTGAGATCCTTCTCTTGCTTGGCTCATGTAATGATGGCATACAAGTGTATACACAAATCAAGGCAAGAATTTGAAGACACTGCTCTAAAAAATGGTCTAGTCTAAGATAAATGACCTGTAGATATTGACATTTGGGATTCCCCAATAAAAAAGCAGACTTTCTGTGTCATTACCATATGCTGAAGCCCATCAATCAGTAAGTCTACCCCATACTTAGACCTTCCAGTCAGCTTTTGAGTACATTGCTCTTATATATGAATAAACAGTCAATGAACACCAGACACTTTAGAAAAACCCCTAATAGAAAAACTCAAAGACATTGGAAGAAAAGAGTGGCAACAATGTAGAAAACATTAATATTGTCAAACAGAATAGAGAACAGGATGCCATAAAAAGAAGCAATCAGAGAATAAGAGTACCTTTAAAATATAATGGCAGAAGCTTTAAAACATTTAGAGAAGTTTTGGAAGATGAAGTTGCAAAAAAAATCTGTCATAGAGTGTAACAAAAGGTCAGAGTAACAAACAGAAGGAAAAATAAGAAAAAAAGAGAGTTGATAAGGAAATCTAACATTTATCAAATATGAATACAGAGAGGAGAAAATTATCAATGAAAAACATCAAAAAAAGTTTCCTAGAATTGAAAGACATTAAGTTTGGATTGAAAAGCCTGACTGGGTGTTCAGAACAATGAATATAAAAGTCAACAGAAGGATATAATAGTGAAATTTCAAAACATTCTGTGGAAAGTGAAGAACCTGATGCTTTCAGAGGAGAAAATAGACTGCATATAAAGGATCAGGAATCAAAATAATGTCAGGCTTCCTTAGTAAGAAGAATAAGAATACAGCAGATCAATATCTTTGGAATTCCGAGGCAGAATTATTTTCAACTTAGAATTCTATACAGTCAATCTACAGTCAAGTGAGAAGAATATAATAACATTTTCCAGAAATGTTAATTCCTAAATAATTAATCTCACATTCACCTTTCTCAGGAAGTGCTTGGAGGATATGCTCTACCAAAATGAGAGCCTGACCAAAATGTACAGTGCACAGCCTCCACAGGCAGGCACGATGACCTTCATTTCCTTACCCTGGTCCTCCTTATCTCACCTCCTGTTCTGTGGAGTCCATTCCCTTCAATTCATTTGATGGTTTAACTGGTATTTTTTGCCTTATTTGTAAGTGCTCCTAAATGTTATATTCTTACCTACATATAACTAAAAGGGAAGAAAACTTCATACCCAGGAAACAAGGACATCAGTACAGGAGAGGCAAAAGGAATTCCAAGTGCCATAGATCTGCAGTAGGTAGGCCTGAGGAATAAATTAGTTCAGATTGGAGCAAGAAGATTGAGAATTCCAGGAAGGGTGTCTCCAAGGGAAAACAGGATTCACAGATTACCTGATATATTCAATTACAATGAGTAGAGTTTACTGATTTCAGTGAGTTTGAGAATTAGTGATAGTTACACAAAAATTTTGAAAACAAAATATGAGGTAAATATTAAATCTAACAAAATAAAAAGTTAAGAAAGAGAAAATTAAGTATAGTTTACTACAGAGCTAGTATCTTCATAAAATAAAACAGCAAACGCTAATTTTAAAATTTGTGATATTAACATTAAGAGATTGGAGAGGGAAGCATTGGAGCACATGTGGGGTTCAGTGTAGGAAAGTGAACCTTTCATTTTCCTTTATATGTAGATAAGAATATAACATTTATAAGCACTTACAAATAAGGCAAAAAATACCAGTTAAACCATTAAATGAATTGAAGGGAACGGACTCCACAGAACAGGAGGTGAGATAAGGAGGACCAGGGTAAGGAAATGAAGGTCATCATGCCTGCCTGTGGAGGCTGTGCACTGTACATTTTGGTCAGGCTCTTTTCGTTGTTATTGTTTTGGTGTTTTTGTTTTTTTAAACCTTAAAGTACTATTTAACTTGTAAAGCTATATATAAGAATGACTTTGATAAAAATGAAAATTATATGAAAAGAGGTTAGCCCACCTGTCTTTCCATTTTTGGCCTTAATTTAGTGAAATCAACATATTTTCAGATTGATAATTTAAAGATTCATAACATCAAGTTGTCTGTTTATCATGTCTCAGAGAAGAGGAACCATTTTAAGCTGAATAGATAAGATCATTGGTTTGCCAAAGAGAACTATAGAAAATACTTGAGAAAAGACCTTGAAACAGCAGTGATAATATGATGAAGATAAATGCGGAGTTCCAGGCAAAGGCAGAACCTGAGAGGAGAAGTGTGGTGATCTGTTTAGAAGCATGAAGGAAGTACTTTGTTAGCTGGTTTGGGTTCAGAGAAGCTTGACTTAAAAAAAAAAAACAAAAAAAAACTGCTACCAATCTGGCCATATTCTCTTGAGGATTATGTTATATGCTGCCTAGTAGTAAGACCCTGTGTAAACAATGACTGCCATTGGACCTTAGTGGCTTTGGGGACAGCACTCATCATTCAGAAGGATCAGAATACCCAGAGAGGCATAGTAGTGCCGAATAATAATGATGCAGTTCTTCTAAGAATCCTTAAAAATGTTCAGGTTAGTTTTGTAATTCATGAATATTAATATTACATGAGTGGACATCCCAGACATTTAAATAACTTTTTAAAGATTTTAAGCATTAAAAAGCATCTTAGAGACTACTTACTCAAATTCCTTTTTGTACAATTAAAAAAAGTAAACAACAGACCCTGAATTCTAAAGAAATCAAATCCTTTGTCCAGGGTCATAAAGTTGTTGCTAGAAGGACCAGGAATAGAACTGTGGCTCCCTTACCAGTTTTCTTTCTTTCTGTTATATTATTTTACTTCTCTTAGTTTCCTTTTTTAAAAATAGTGAGAAAGAAATTACAAGACTGTCTGAGAAATCTAACAATATGGTAAGTCTTTTTTTTGAAACTCAATTTCAGCTGCATTTAAAGAGATCAATGTTTGTCTTCCCTGTTTTGCAGCAGCTCTATGCCGCTCAGCTGGCCAGCATGCAGGTGTCACCTGGAGCAAAGATGCCATCAACTCCACAGCCACCAAACACAGCAGGGACGGTCTCACCTACTGGGATAAAAAATGAAAAGAGAGGGTCCAGCCCTGTAACTCAAGTTAAGGTACTCGCCTTGCAGGATTGTGGAAACAGCTCAGAAAAATAGTTTCACAAGAAAGGTAGCGAAGCAGGCTATGTTGCGCATAAACAGCAGGAAACATAGCAACATAAAGCAACCCCAAAATGTCCCTCTTTATGGTAAATTTCATGATTGAGCATTGAGAAACAGGTGTTTCCCTTTTGATAACAATAGTGCCATATTGTGAGATCTTCACCTCTATCTGCAAACTCACTTCTCAAGAGTTTTCCCCTTTTGGATTCTGGCTTTTATTTTTTAATGTTCATTGGCGTGAATGGCCATGATTTTATTGCCATTCTTTGTCATGTACTTGTGGCACTTCTCTCCATGTTTCTTAAACAAGGAGGGAGTTAACTTATAGGACCAGACAACTGGGATCTTGAAACCTTAGGTTTAAAAAGAAGTACAAAATGGAAGTTGATGCTGGACTCTGTATGGTTTGTTGATGAAGATCTCTCCTTCAAAACTAGTTATAGTGGCCTTTAAGGAATGAGTTGTCATTGCCTAATAATGCTTTTGATGCCATATAGTTGTGTTAGGATAAACAGACTTTCACAAATTATGTCTGGGACATTAATAAATGTCTTTTCTCACTAATTTTCAGTGTCTTGAAACTGTGCAGCCAGGAGGTACTTGGCGACAGAGGGAAATTGATGAGCCGGTGCAATTTTGTGCTGCAGCTGGTACCCATAGGTGGTGCTTGTTGGTTTTATGATTGCAGTTACTTTCTATATTGAATTATCAAATTCAAACAAAGGGACAATTGTTTTGTATAATTGACTTATCTACTTGGAGGAGTATGCTAATTACAAATGCTTTATTGTAATGTGATAAAAGCACCGCATTTGAAGAAATTTTGCAATTATTAAATCTTCACAAGGGAAGCAGCTGAGACCATCAAAACTAAGCATCAGATGCTATACAGTCACTGAAATTGTTTTGTTTTCTAAAATTTGCATATAGTAATATTGAGATTCCAGAAAGTCTTTTTAAAAAAAGTGGATCCCAAATACCAAAGATCAAGAAAAGTGAAAATCATTAAGAGAGAGAGTTCTGCCTGCGTTCTATCCAAAGGAATTAATTTAATGCCACCTATTCTTTAGATTCTTTAAAGAAACAGGTGAACATTTATGGTCTGTTGTTTGAAATATTGAGATATGACAATAGGAGGTTTACATTTAATAAGACAGAATCATGTATGGAAACAGAGTATTTGATGTTCCCAGAGTTTGTGTTTGTGAATAAGTCAGAACACTCCAACTCAAACCAAGGCACTTTGCTTATTCGTAATTGTTGAAGCATCAAACATCAGTGACTTGAGCTATTGAGTATTAAATATTTTAACATAAAGAAGTCATTTTATAAGTAAGTTTCCCAACTGGAACTGCACCAAACCAAGTCTTTACTGGATGAGTAAAATGTTCCTTGGTTAAATTCAAATTTATATCTGCTTTTACCATTTCATCTTTGTGGGCCAACTGAATTTTATTACTCATTTGACCACATGCAAATGCTTAGGGAGCTCTCTGGGTAATTTGACTTGACCATATTCTATGTTAATAACAAAGGAAATATTTCTTTTTACTTACTAGGTATTTTACTTTATATATGGGTAAAAATATATAGAACAAAACATAAATCAAGTATTTTAAATTTAAAATATAATTCCTATTACTGAAGATGTTCTGAAAATAATCTTATCGTTGCTAATTGAAGGAACTATGGTTACCAAAATCTCCCATGTTTCTCTTTATAGTCATTGCTTTACTTCTTTATATAATATGACTACTTATTTTAAATTCAGACAGAACATAGGCAACATTTGCTGAAAGTAACAAAAATAAATATAGATGATCTGATGTACCTTTTTCCCCTAGAATATTTGTCTACTGTAACTGTCAACATCAGATGTCAGAATGTTTCTGTTAAAGATACTGGTTCTACCACTTTTACTCATTATATCAGCTTGCCCAAGATACTTAATGTCTTTCTACTTTAGTTTTTGCCTCTGAAAAAAAAAGGGAGTTAATATTATTATAGGTCTTAAATATATCCTCTAGTCTATAGTGCGTATTCTGTCAATGTTAGTGGTCGTGATGCTGCTGCTGCTTATTACGGTAATAAAGAAGATAGTGTGGTGATTTTAGTGGTTGTGATTAAAATATCTAGCTGTAGACTGGGAGAGATCCTAAATAAACACCTAGAGGAATTCCATGGTAAACCATGATGAAGGAACAAAATCAGATTTACTTTTCCGGCTTAAACAACTAAAACTCAGGACAAAATTACATAAAACAATGGTTTTCAGACATTTACAATAGGAGTACAGGACAGTGCTTCCTATGAGAAGAGAAACAAGTAAGGCAAGCACTATAATTGTTGCAGCTCACTATCAGGAGGAAGTTCCCAGGCAACTATGAAGGAAGTTTTACAGGCTCCCTGAGTAGAGAGACAGAGTTTAGAATTTAGGGATGCTAATGCAGATGAAATTTGTGAGACAGGGTATCAGAAAGGAGCAAGCTGCATGGAGAAAGAGTGCTGAAGATCTGCAAAAGGCTCCCCCTGAGTATTTAGCTGAGTACTGATCAGCACATGCATGTGAGAAACTACCAAAGATAAGGGGCAACACCAGAATATAGCAAACAAATCAATTGCAAGGTTCATAAAGGGCCAGGAATAGTTAGCTAGAGTGGAAAGATCTCCTGACCTACGGAGCATCAAGTAGAGTGCCCAGAAGGGTATTACCTCAGTAGTGGGGACAAATTACCCCTACTTAGTGACTGTTCTGACCTTGCTTAACAACACCTAGAAGCAAGCCTAGGAAGGATCAAATTGTTCTGTGTCTCAGAACAAAGTTTTCAAATATTTAAAGAAATACAGAAACTTCATCACCCCAGAAGGTAAAATTCACAATGTATAGCATCCATCCAATGATTATCAGGCTTGCAAAGCAGGAAAAAAATATGAATAATGGGAAAAATTAATCAAAAGAAACAGAGCCCAAAATGGCACTAAGACAGAAAAAACAGCTATTATAAGAGACTTCCAACTAGAGCCAGATGAGATAAGCAAATCTGCTTTCCTAAAAAAGCACCTATAAAGCTGTAAAACACTGACAAAAACAGTCATTTAGGCATTCTTAAAATTGACCAAAGTTATATACAATCTGAGAAAACATTTATGCCTCTTATATGTAGGAATAGTGGGAGTCTGTCTAGAGCTATTGTTATTTCCCCTACTCCCAGGCTTGGTTAGCACAAAGTTGTCAGGCCAGGACAGGCTGTGAGGACCAACAGTTCTACCGTGGTGGAAAGGGATTCACTTAATTGGGCATTGGTAGGTGCTAGCCATGCCCAGTGGTATTATTGGTTAAAGTGGCGATTATTGAATTATAAAACTAAGTAAAAAATTAGAGTATTTCTAAGTTGAAAAAGCTGTAATAAACTCCATATGTTCAAGAAGATAGAGGAAAACATGAGCATGATAAAGCAAGACATGGAAAAACCTAAATCAAATGTCTAGAGATGAAAAACACAGTGTTTGAGATTAAAAAATATATACTAGGTGGGTTTAGCAACAGCTTAGACATTGCAGAAGAAAAGATAGTGAACTTAAAGACATAACAATAAAACTATCCAAAATAAAAGGCATAGAAAAAAGACAGGTCAGTACTGTGGTACAAAATCAAATAGACTAATGTATGCAATTGGAGGCCCAGAAAGAAGAGAGAGAAACAGAAAGTTGTATTTGAAGAAATAATGACTGAACATGTTACAAATGTGATCAAAACTTTAAATTTAGATTTTTTAGAAGCTCAGTGAGCCCCAAATAAAAGAAACATGGAGAAAACTAAACACTAGCATATAAATCCCTATTATTTAGACGTGAGTAAAGGAACAAACTAGTTCAAACATCCTTTGAATTAAGAGCAAAGGGAAGTAAAATGCAATTAAGTACATAAGATAGTTTTGACATTCATAATGGGTATACCCATGTTGCTTGAGAACCTGTCCTATATATAAATATACATAAAGGTATATTGCAACATATGTGACAGATTGCCTTTTCCTTATGAACACACACACACACACAAATCTGGGGCATCACTATATTATCAAACAACTGACTTATTTTCTATGGTAGTTCAGTAGAAAAGGGGCCTGAAATGTGGAGTCCAATAAAGAATTTACATTTTCATTCTGACCTCCATTTTCTCATTTGTAAATTTAGAATAATACTGGCCAGCCTCATACAGTTATTGATAGTTAAATGAGCTAGTATGTGAAAATGCTTAGTACAGTGCTTGGTATATAATTGCTTCTTTGTGCGTGCTAATTTTATTTTCTCTTTCTAATCCTCCTTCTCAAGTACTATTTTCTGGCCTCTCTTTTTGTTCCCCCTTAATCAATGATATTAGTACTAGAAGAGACCTGAGAGATCACCTAGCATCAGACTCTCTTTTGGCAGATGAAGAAATTGAGCCCCAGCAAGGTCACTTGGTTACTAAGGGGAAAAATGTCTAACCTAAACTCTATTGGGTCTTTTAAACAATGGTATTAAAATCTAGTTCTCTTTGCCTTCGCAGAAGCAAAATGGGAGTTAACATTTGCTGACCATTTTATCTTAGAATACAATAATACAGATCTTAACACTGAACATTTAAATGAATATGCTTATATTACAACAAAATTTCTAGGATGATGAAAGTGTTGTTTCAAGTATTTTATGGCAGGACAAATGAGACAAAACAAAGGAAGGAGCTTAGCTTTCAAGCTCCTGGATGAACTACAGTTACAAGCCAGATATTTGAATACCGTCTCAGTGTAAAAGGACATGTCTTAAAATAGACATTCTGTAAATATATGTAAAAAAGCCTATAAAGAAACATCACTTTAAACATGAAAAATAAATTGCATATAGCATAGTATATAAAACATAATTATAATCTATCCTTGGTCTTTGCAAAAATTAATTTTAAACATGAATAGAGACCAGAATATAGACCATGAAGAGTGCCCACACCCAGAAAGCCACATAGAAGCTGTGTTGTGGCATGTGGCTCCCTGGGCAGGAGCCTAGTAGATCAGAAAAAGGCTTTCCATGTTTCCATTTTTAAAGTGCTTGCAATTGTTTGATTTAAAATATGTATTAAAAAAATTAGCTGCAGAGACTATTTATAGCTATAAGAACTTTTCAGAGAAAATAACACAAAAGCACTACAGAGCTGCTGAAATTTTAAATAATTCTTTGTAAATGCCCTAGGTTAATTTAGATCCCTGAAAACACATTAGGAAATTAAGCTGTAATGTGAGCTAATTCAGATTTTAATTTGGCAAAAAGAATGATCCAACTACACAGTTAATGTAAATAGAAGCATAACACAGGGAAATTAATGAGGTTTCCTTCCGATGAATCTTCAAGGAGGTAGATAATTAGCTTCTTTTGTTATTATTGTAGGAGAATGTGGCATTGTCTCTGAGGTGTAAAATAACTGTGGCTTACTAAGTGATAATGTGCTTCATTTGTCTTTTTTAAAAATAATTATTTATGTTAAACTTTTGCAGGATGAAGCAGCGGCACAGCCTCTGAATCTCTCATCCCGACCCAAGACAGCAGAGCCTGTAAAGTCCCCAACGTCTCCCACCCAGAACCTGTTCCCAGCCAGCAAAACCAGCCCTGTCAACCTGCCAAACAAAAGCAGCATCCCTAGCCCCATTGGAGGAAGCCTGGGAAGAGGATCCTCTTTAGGTAAATGGAAAAGTCAACACCAGGAAGAGACTTATGAATTAGGTAAAAGAAAGCAAACCTGTTTAGTTACTACTGATACTTGTTTCCAAAGTGTTCCTTAGTAAAAGATAATACTCTTATCTTCTCTACTGAAATATAACCCAATTTAGTATCTTGTTATATTAGAACTTTTGGAAAAGATCATAATATAAATCCTGCTGGGATGGATTCTTTAGATGATAATGAGTTAGATCCAGTAAATCATAGACTTAGGAATTTCTATATTTGGTCAGTGCTTTGCCACTGAAATAATTTTTCAGGGACATAGGACCTGGCTTCAAAGCAGCCTTTTAAAAGGCCAAAATTTATTTGACATTTTTATTTTCTATCAAAGTGTACATGAATTTTACATCTTATCCCATATTACTTTTGCATTAAAACAAATATGAGTGACACAATTCCAGAACATATATGAAATACTATTGATATGCAGGAACATATGTCATAATGTCTGGCTTCTTATACTCCCCCATATATTGCCAAGTATCTCTAGGAATATTTGTATCCCTATGTGAAAATTATGTAGGGAAACACATGGGTTTTGGAATGAGGTGGGCTTAGACAGAGAGCCTTCATTTACTAGCTATGTGACCCCAAGAAAGTTATTTCAAGTTCAATTGCCTAATCTCTGAAAGGGTGATAGTATTACTATAGGTTACTATAGCTCATAGGTTATTGTGAGAATTAAAAGAGAAAAATGCATATGAAGTGTCTAGTACAGTTTAGAATCTAGAGGCATTCAATTTTAAAGAATTTGAATGCATGATTATCAATACATGTACATACATAAAGTGGAATGAAACAATAAGTGTGAAAGTGGTTGTCAGTAAGAGTGCCAAATAAGCATTAACATTATTGTTACTGTACTCTTTAAGTCAAATTAAGTCTCTTAATTTGTTATACTTATGCTCTTAGGAAACTAAATCTCTTAATTTCCAAGCAGACACAGATTTTAAAGCGTTAGCCTAAAGACCAAGCATTTCTTCATTAGATTACCTTTCTTATATTACCAAGTCCTGAAGTCTAAAATGCTTATTACAATAGATAAAATAATGTATAAGAATAGCCATTAACAGCTTAAAAAACATTATTGCCTATTTTATCTCATTTGATGCTTCACATTCATATGAATTAGGTAGGATACTATTATTACCCTCATTGTACAAATACATACATTGTGGTTCTTAGAGGTAGAACGACTTGCCCATACCCCTGTAGCTATTACTTAGCAGAAACAGGATTAGAAACCAGGTCCTCTCACATGTTACTCATTGTTCTTTTAGTAAACTCACAGTTAAAATATTTGCTGAATTGTGCTGAGTCTAAGTGAATCTTCTGATAGTGAGATGTAAATCTTCTCACTGAAATTTGGGTTATAGGATCTCTACAACAGCATATTCTCATTTTGAGTAAGGATGCCTTTTTTGGGACCTGAAAATTTTCATGCAAAGTTAGTGGTCTCCACATAAGAGACAGAATTACATCATTTCCAGCATGTGAATATGCATGTCCCTTGGCTGGATTTTTGGAAGTTGTGAGATGAGGGAAAAAAGCCAACAAGAAGGTAAATTATAGATTTGAGCTTGAAATGGCCCTCCTAGAATTCACTCTGAATTCATTTGTTTGCTGTCCTGAGTATCATGAGGGACAGAGATGACTAAGTCACAAGCCCTGCTTTTATGGAACTCTACTCAGCAGAGCATATTTCTTAGAAATAGTCTGAAGTACTAGCACCTGTGTTTGAACAGCATTTTTGTCCAGAAAATATTGGATTAAAATGGTCTTTTTGCCAGAAAACTCCAGAGCAAAAGCTGTGGGACTAAAAAGTGACTGACTTCAAAAAAATTTCATAGATAGCTTCGGAATTTTTTCCAAAGACAAATGCATATGCACATGCATTGTACATGCCAGACATACAGTGTGAGCTTGATTCTATTCTCATTCCTTCTGTACTGCCTATGTGAGGTGTACACACACACACACACACCCCTGCTATGAAATGCTTATACGAGGCCTTAAGCAAGTGGATCACACTAACATTTACCACAGCAGATGAAGCCTATCTATCATCAAACAATTGCCCTCTTTTTGTCTAAAACTGGAAAAACTTATTCAAAGTATTCATTTTACCTACAGTAAAATGCAAGATATAGTGGGAAAAAAGTCAGTTTAATTTTGAAATTTTTCCCTGTATTGCATGGAATATACTAGAAGTAAATATTTATTCTCACTTTTACTGAAGCTTTTTAGTTACGTGAAAACCAGTCCCACACATATCCCCTCAATGTCAGGAAGATAGAGAGCTGATCGTAGTGGGTGTTTGAGCTGGGGATGGAGAATGAGTTGTCATTCCCTTGGTAAATAACTGAGGCAGCATGATGAGAAGAATGCTTCATTAACCAGCCAGCAATTAGAGGAATGGAGAGTTTGGTGTATTCCTTCCGGCCCCTCTCTCCTGCAGTGGACATGTGAACACACAGATACAGATATCACTAAAATACACATGTGGCCTCACAGATTTTTTTTTCTACAGGCCAGAAACAACTTTCTTGTAGTAGCACAGCAGCTATAATGGGTAGCCTGGACAAACATCTCTGCCTCCTTGTCACTCCTCACCCCCTTCTTCCCCATAATTCCTCCACAGAAGAGACAACATTGTGCACCAATTGTACATACAGGCAGAGCAAATCTCTTCTTCCAATATATACATGATTAGAGTCTAGGAACCTTAGTCTGCAAGGAGGTGGGTAGACAGAATCCAGGTAGACTGGAGTGCTGGTGTTTTCTCCAAGGGCTAAAAGAACCCAGCACATCTTGGTTGCCCTGGCTCTGTGCTCTATGTATATTACTGTATACTTTAAAAAATGGCAAATGTGTGCCCCTTTCTTGTTCAGAGAATGCAGTTTTCTACAGGGGAGGGGATAGTAGTAGTGTTTTTTAGGAGTCTGATCTCACAAGCCTCTAATAATGCATCCTGTATATGCAGATATCCTGTCTAGTCTCAACTCCCCTGCCCTGTTTGGGGATCAGGATACAGTGATGAAAGCCATCCAGGAGGCACGGAAAATGCGAGAGCAGATCCAGCGGGAGCAACAGCAGCAACAGCCACATGGTGTTGATGGGAAACTGTCCTCCATAAATAATATGGGGTTGAACAACTGCAGGAATGAAAAGGTAAAACTGCTTCCCTGTGTCACTGGATCTGCTAGACTCATTGGCTCACTCTCACCTGGTTTTTTCCAGGCTCCCAAGTATGGGTTCTCCAGCCATAGATTTGGGTTTCCAGCTTGAGAGCTGTCTTGCACTTTACTAAAATCTATCATTGTGGCACCTGTAAGCATTATTGCTGATTAACAAATATGCCCTTTCTAACCCAGTGTAATTTGCCTCCCAGGGACCCAACCTACCTGCCTATTGGTGTGTTTTTCTGTCACGTTCTGAAATAGACGTATCATAAAATAAAGGAGATATATGATGTTACTAGAATAAGAATAGAGTACCAGAATATTAAAAATGGAAGACACATACTTGCTTACAATGAAGACTAATATGTTACCATGACTCATCATTAAATGTAATACTAAGCTCCCTGTCAACCAGGGCAAAAAAAAAATGCAGTTTGCAAAATGCATTCATTTGGTTTTTGATCCAGTAAATTATTTATTGCTTATTCTGCTTATTGGAGTGAAGATAGAGCAGTGAGAAAATACGACAAAAGTACCTGTTCTCCTAGAGCTCACATTCTGATAGGAGAACACAGACAATGAAGAAATAAACAATTAAATAGAAAATGTAGCTGCAGGAAGTCAATAAATGCCATGAGAAAAAATAGAAGCAAGTTAAAACAATAGGGTGTTATAGGGTTGGTATGTTAGATGGGGCGGTAAGGCTTGTCTGAGAAAGCGACATTGACATCTGAATTAAGCAACAGTCCAGGCCATAGTGAAAGGCAGGAGCACGTGCATTCCAGGCACTGGGAATGATGAATGTGGAGGCCCTTAGAGGATCAGACCTGCACCAAGGAGGCCACTGTGACAAGAATGGTAAGAGACAGGACAGCAGGGGAACATAAAGTAAAAATGATAGACTGGGCCGAGCTTATTAGACCTGGTAGACCCCGGAAAGGCTTTTCATTTTATTCTGAGTGCAATGGGAACCCCTAGACTGATTTTGTCCAGGACATTGACATGGTCTGATTTACATATAAAAGGATCATTCTGCCTACTGTGTAAGATTGGATTATAGGAGGTTAAGAATGGAAACAGGGAGACTGGTTGAGAGGCTATTAGTAGTAGACTGGGTAAAAAATTCTGATTATCTGATAGAAGGGCACTAGTCTGATTATGGGGCTCTACCCTCATAACCTCATCTAAACCTAATTACTTCCCAAAGAGCCACCTCCGGCTATCATCACATTGGAGACTGGGGATTCAAGATATGGATTTTGAGGGGACACAAAAATTATCTCCATAGTACCCTATATTGTTGAATTTGTGTTACCTGTTGAAGTTCAAACTTAGATACTATTAACTTCAAATTCTACAGATTAATTTTAAGTATTTCTCATTGACTTTTTAAATTCATTTGGAAGGAAAAAGTCTGAAGTGTAAAAGGATAAAACTTAATTTTGCTTTGGAACACATGGGAGAGGGATGAGAGATGAGGTTAAGATAGATAGATGAGAGAGAGAGAGAGATAAATTTATACTTGACCTAAAACATATCACACTGAATATAACTGAGTCCCAGAAGATAAGCTGCAAAGTTGTTTCTACAGAACCAGGAAACCCTGGTTTCCAAGTTGAAGGGAGTAGTTTTCCCAGTAGAAACCTTCCTGAGGTTGAATTTCAGACACTGGAAAAGTTCATTAATAGGGATGTTGTATTCATGAGCTCTCCTTAACATGATTTCCCTCTTGCATAATGTCACTGTTTTGCAGATATATTTTGTGATTCTTGCAGGCTTTGTTTAGCATCTAGAATCAGTTTCTGTGATTGCTGATAGATTAGTTGAAGTCAGAAGAATAAATGAAGGACAGCACTAACAGTTTCTTGTGATGGTATCTTTGGCTTTCTTATAATCAAAACATCTGTCTTAATTTTATGGGATTACATAGGGCACTACATTTTCTTCCGAGCATCATATTTTCTTCTGGGCCAAAGAGGCTTAATATTAATATATAATGTGCAATTAAACTGGAAAATGAATTGTGACAAATTCAGTTTAACTCTCTTCAAAATTATTCATGTTGAAATTATCTGTTTCCTTAAATATAAGAAACATTCTTTTGATTTATGGATTTGTTCTTTGTAGCCCCTAATACAGTTATAGATAATTTTTTGTGATGTTGTTGTCATAAAACATTATAATTTATTAAGCATTCTTCTTCTCTCTCTTATTTGGACACTCTTTACAGAGGAATGTGGCATAGATTTGGGTGTCCTGGGACATAGCTCATGAGATGGAGATCAGCATGCAGGTATATTAGGGAGCACTCTTAGGATTGCTAAGGGAAGGGAGAAGACAAAAGCCTGGACAGCATAGTGAAACCCCATCTCTAAAAAATAAACAAGTTAATTATTTTTTTTTAAAACCCAGGACTGGTCAGAAGAAGAAATTGTGCTCTGGTACAGTCTCAACTAGGGCCTCTAGCAACCTCATTGGAAGCTTCCAGGTTCCCATGGCCACTCTGAATTGCCCTAAGTTGGGGTGAGAGTGTGAGCTTTTATACACTTGTATCATCAATGAGTCATTGGATAAGGACATGACTTTGAGTGGGAAGAGGAAATGACTTTGAGTGAGGTGACTCTCTTCAGCTAAGGCAGTGCTGAAGAGGACCAACAGCTAAAAGCTAGCTACCAACAGCAATTCCAGCAGCGGAGGGAATAAATCTTCCAGTCCTGAAGGGGGATCTGGGTCACACATCAGTGTCCACTGTAGCTTGTTACATTTAGTAATATAAGATGTACACAAGACAGGCTTTGTATATATCATAAATGTGAGCCAACATTTACTAACAGGCATAGGGATGCTTATGTCTTTATAGTACATATAGAATCATAGATTATGTCCATATGACTACATGTTTACTCATGATGTGTCTCACTGTATTGGGTAAATCCCTATTTTGGCACTTTAAAATGAAACATTGTTGACTTGATCGGCCAGAACGGCACCAATGGAGTTGCTCTGGTTGGCTGTGTCATGGAGTATTTAGGATCTGTTAAATATATACATTGTAGGTACAATAGACTGTAACGGCACCTTAGGAGCTGTTCTGCTCCATCATTTCGACATAACTTCTGTGCGTGAATTGTCAGTGTCCTGCCAGCAGAAATCTAAGTTACCGCCCTGGGTTGTAGCTTTCCACAAAAAGAACACCAGCCATCTTCACCACTGTCTAAATACCAGTGCAATTCGATCAAACTATAGACCAATTGCTTGCCAAATTTTGTTGCTTTGACATCTCTAAGATAGAGAGTATTGTAGTCATGACAATACATGGCAGAATTTTAATTAGGCTGCTTCTAAGTCTCCTCAGAGCTAAGCTAAGGGCATCTGGCAAGAAGACAGCCAAGGCAGGGTGGGCCTTCTTAATGAAGGGATATATGTAAAGTATGTTCTGTAACTCTCTGATCGTCTTGATTTTTGAATGCTGACTCAGCGAAAGCATTGGTTGGAATGCTTTCCTGCATAGGTATTATGTAAGCCAGTAGACTGATTACCTACTGATCACAACTGCTCACAAAAAGGCAGATTACACATCTGTACACATGTGTCCTGAGCTGCTATTCACTTCCTCATCTGGGAATCACTTGAGAAAAGTGCTTGACCTCATCAGGTGTCAAACAAAATGAGCTACAGTGGACACTATTATCACACTTACTTGCCTCTGAAGTATATTGGTAGAATTAAAACTGTAGAGTAAGAGAACCAGAGGGAGCATTACACTTGATCAAATGCAGTCACTTCAATTTGCAGATGAGAAAACTGAAACCTAGAGAAAGAAAAGCACTTGCCCACAGTCATAGTGTATTTGTGGCAGAGCAGAAATTAAATCTCAGCTTTTCTAATTCCTAGTTAATTGTATTTCCACTTATAGAACAGTACCAGATTCATTTATTAGTTTCCTGTGATATCTTACATTTTACATTGACAATCTCCAAGCTTTGGTGAAATATAGCAGGGAATAAATAAACAAAAACAGTGAAGCAGAAAGGCATTTATCTCCCTGCTTTCTCTATACTTGCCACCTTCTATCTGGGTAGGACATTCTTCCCTGCCATGGTGTCTGTTGCTTCTGGTGCTGGAAAGCTACCAGTCAGGAAACAGAAGATTGAATGATACTGGTATAGACAAAGAAACAAAGGAGGTGGCCAGGCCAGGAGCAGTCATAGAAAGGCAGACGACATGTAGATTACAAAGACCTTGGATTTTAGAGTTGATTAATGCTAGGTCTCAGTTCTCCCTGTGCTGTTTTCTAACAGTGTTATTTAAGTAAGTTACTTAATCTCTCTGAGTCTCAATGTTCATATCTATAAAATGGAGATAATTACCCTTTTCTTGAAGGGCTGTTTTGAAGAAAAGCATATGTACAGCCTGTATCTTGCACAAAAGATGCTCATTTAATATCAGATTCTTTCTCACTTTCAGATGACAGGCATCTTGTCAAATCTGTTGTTTAGTTTTAATTTTTTTCTTTCTTTGGTATTCTCCACTGGTGAATGAGTCAACCTATTGGTCCTTGGGTCCAAAATGTCTTAAAAGAGGAAAAATGGCTAGTAAGATGCTAACAGGCACCTTCTTACAAAGTCAGGATATGCATATTTCTTTTTCATTTTTAGAGTAGCTTGAATAAACTAGCTGCCTGCTAGGATTTGGCTAAAGCCAACATGATAATAATACTCAAGTTTGATTATATTAGTGTGCTAGGGAGATTTTGTTCCTAGTAATTTATTCTTTAATGTATTTCCACAAAAGCAGAATTTTAATCTATAATGTTTTGGAAAAGCTTGATCTGATGCTTGATAGCTGTTTATATTTCTCATACCCAAATAATGTTTTTCAGTGAATTAAATAGGAAAATCGTAACCCAATCATTGAGACACATTGTAAACTTGTTTCCATTTATTTAAAAAGCTATTGTTCATTTTTTGAAAGTGTAGATTCTTGCAT